GGATGTGAATAGAATAATTTTGAAACATTACAGGTGTTTCTTTATGCAAAAACCAGGACAATGTTTAACAAATTTCTGTATAAATAATACAATTGGGAGTGCTGAGTAATTTCAGAAGATTAGTGATAAATGGGCACAAGCTGATTATTCAAGATAGAGCTGAGGGTCATTATCCTCAGCTGGTCATTAATCCCCATGAAATGACTGGTATTGAGATAGTAATTACTATTGTAATGAAAATGGGGAGGGGGAAAAGCATGACATTTTTCTTATGAAGCTGTCTCAGTTTCTAAAGAATTCATGTTTCTCTCATCACCCAATCAAGTTGCCTGAAGCGTTTTTAACCCTTTATAGAGTTTAGTCATCCTACTACAATTTCCATGTCATCACTTCACTTAAGGTTGGGTTTCCCATCATATATTCGTGGAATTTTGGGGGCACAGCAAGGGGCAACAGCAATGGGAAAGAAAGACAGTGCACACAAATCCTCCAAAAACAGAAAACACAGAAAAATATTTTTAGAATGTTTTCTCTATAAATTGTGCTCCATGAGGTAGGAGACTGCATTATTACACTATATGCTATCTAGCTGTTTATTCTGCATTTAGTAGTGCTTTTAGCAATAGCACACACATCTCTTGCCATTGCATAGCAGCTGTGGAATTAATTGTTCCAAAACAGAATTCACCTTGTAGCTTTACAAGATATGGAACTGATACGGTCAAGTTAACTTGGTCTGAAATCATGAAGAAATTTGTCCTTAAAATGAAGAAATATCTTTAAAAATCACAGAATCGCAGAATGTCAGGGATTGGAAGGGACCTCGAAAGATCTTCTAGTCCAATCCCCCTGCCAGAGCAGGAACCTAAATGAGATCAAAAATCTGCAACTTCACAAATCAACTTTGTGGTGTTCTGATGTGCCTTCTAAGGACTTTTGAGCCTTTGGAATTCTTTTTTTCAGATTTCTACTAGAAGAGCTAGAAACTTACTATGGGCAGAAGGGAAGGCAATTTGTTTCCTGCCACGAACACTATCATTCTCTTTCCACTGTGAAAGCCCCACACATGCTGCATCATTATGACTTCCCATCTCAGAAACTGAAAAACTCAATCGAAACTAAAAGCTTTCAAAATAAGTTGACAGTTTAAAAATAGGTGTATTGCCCTTTATGTTGCTAAAGCAAACAAGACACAGATATTCGTTACTCAGTATTTTTTTCCAAAGCTTTCCCATGAACACTTTTCTAAGAAGGGGATCCCAGGAAAGCTACAGGATGTATTGAGTTTCTGCTGGAAAATTTGCAGTTGCTTCCGAAATATTTCACTGTGTACAAAAGACAGGAAGTAGAGCAAGGCTCAAAAGTGTTTTAGGCAAGAATGGCTGATAGGATGTTGCTCTGAGGGCTGCAAACCAAATTCTGCACGGTGGAATAAAACCAGATAACAGTGGACACCAGTAAGTGACTTGCAGCGCAGCCTGGAAGAGTGATTTGTCCTTCTAGCTTGTTTAAGCTGTTTGGAGAGTTTGAGGAGAAACCTAATGATGCATGTCTGCTAGCCAAATAAATCATTCAGTACTGGACAGCTATTGAAACTGGACTGTTTGGCTAAAAAACAATAAAATTAAATTTTAAAAAATTGCTTAACTTCTGAAAGCTCTGAATGGCATTGAGTAGAGCATACTTCAGAAAACATGGCAAGTCCTCTGGAAATAGAGACATGTTTTTGACAGCCAAGACCAAAGCATGGTCTGTCAATTTTATGGAAAAGTGGGAAAAATAGTAAGTTATTTAAGAGTAGAACCTTGTCTGAAAAAGAAGTAATGTAATAGTGACAGGGGAACCAAACATAATTATGCATCACAGCAGGTGATAGGATTCAAAAGCATAGTGAAACACCAAGAACAGGTATTGTTGGTGGTGACAGATCAACAACTGGGTTGCAGTATAGCTATTCTGTATCTGCCAGATAAAGCTAGGACATGCTAGAGTGACACCTGCAGTCCAGTGGGTCAGAGTCCACAACAATAGCTGCTACATGCACATATTAACAAGCCTTCTAAGGAGATTCATACCTATATGGAAACGTCACTCCATTCCTTTCACCTACTCCAAAATCAATTTTGTCTTTGCTACAAGTCCCAAGAACAAAGCACAAATCAGCACTGACTATGGATAATGTATTATCAGCACTGCTGAAGTTGTTGCATGACTCAGGGGAAATACAATGTGACTTCCAATTTTCCTGTGCTCCTGGGAAAATCAAATACATAGCACATCCGCTCATGTGAAGAAGGAGGCTGAGCATTTATGGGCCTTCTCCAGACTTTATGTATGTGTGGAAAGGTACTGTTTGCTCTTTTCCCCCTATTTCTTTCTGCAGGATAGAAGAACACCTCATACAACACTGTCATCCTGTATAGCTATGAAGAATATTCTCTTATGGCTCCTCTAAAATAAAATTTCCAAAAATGTAGGGAAAAAAAAATAGGGAAAAAACCCTTAAGATTCTGCAGAACAACTACTCTCTAGGGAATTCCAGCACAGCAGAAAAATAACTAGTCCTGAATAAATCAAGAAAAACAGAATGTTCATTATTTTACTGCTGTTAGTCTTATATGCATTTCTGTGGCATTCCTCTGTTACATGTGGAAAGTATGAGCATATTTGCCTGCAATCTTTAAGCATCCTCAACATTTCAGCAATTACAGCAACAGGACATGAGGAAATGGAATGAAGCTGTGCCAGGGGAAGTTCAGATCGGGTATCAGGAGAAGGTTCTTCACTGAGGGTGGCTGGTCACTGGAACAGGGTCCCTAGGGAAGTGGTCATAGCACCAAGCCTGTCAGAGTTCAAGAGCATCTGGATGATGCTCTTAGTCATATGGTTTAGTTTTAGGTAGTCCTGCGAGCATCAGAGAGTTGGACTTGATGATCCTTATGGGTCCCTTCAACTTGAGATATTCTGTGATTCTATCATTTCCATTAATACATATCTTATTTTTATAGTAGTTTGTGTAAAATACTCAAGTCCATATTCAGTACACACCTGCTTCATTAGAGTTAATTGCAGTAAGATGCTTTTTGCCAGTCTGTGAGATAAATGCCTATACAACTACAATATATTTATACATTTCGAATAAGACTTGCTAGATCTTGATGTTAAAAATGAGAGCTTTTTCTTTTTTTTCTTAAGTTGTGTGATATTTTTTCTACAGCTCCAAATCCTGGGAGCTTGAGATTAGGACAAAAATTTAAAATACTTGAAATCACTTATAAACAAATTTGTTAGACCTCATGGCTGCAAAAGTGATTTGTAAAATGATTCAAGTATACCCTGAAGGTTTAAAGAGTGAATTAATATTTTATTTTGGGAGTGCTGAATCACAATTTTTCAATATTTACAGCTGGCAGCTGCAGGACACTCGTAAGCTGTAATTCCAATTTAATGAGTAGCCTATAAAAATATTCAGACTAACATTTGAAATTTTTCAAGCTGGAATCAATCCATACAGAAAAGTTTGCAGTGATAATAGACAACTGAAAAATACCACTGAAGCGTCAGAAACTATAAATTCTTAAAACTTCTTAATATGCCAGTTGGGTAGGGAGGGGGTATACATATGTATGTTTGTTTTAGAAAACCTAACTGCAGTCTCACAGGCTTTAAAAAGTTGATTACTGCAAAGACAAGGAACAGATTGATTTAATGGAAGTAGTGAACTACTTTTGCACTAAAGAATTTCTGAAATGATAAATAACAGGCTAGTGGGTAAAAAGAATGAGAAATGCTAAGCTTATGTTGTGGACTATAAGGACATTTTTCATGTATTTTCCTTCTCGTGGTCCTCAAAGGTTTCCTGCAGGAAGGACATACCATCTCTAAGACAAGGCATTTGCCTAGTTTCAAAGATCATTAAATTTTTTTTCATTCCACACTTTTTTGCTCACAAGCACTTATTCTGCTTCTTGTGCTGTACTCAAACATTTTACTAAGTATGTCATCTTCATCCTTTCAATCCTGTAATGGTAGATTATTATTAAAAAACATACTTCTATTTAACTACATCTTTTGTTCACCTGTGATTTTATATGGGGAAAAATGTCAGGAAATTGCTGCCAAACTTGTACCACTATCATCTGAGTGAAGACAATAGATGGGGCCAAAAAACCTGCTTAGATTAGCTAATATGTCCCATCTACAAATACAGGCTGGGCAGAGAATGGATCGAGAGCAGCCACGGGGAGGAGGACTTGAAATACTGGTAGACAAGAAGGTCAACATGAGCCGGCAATGTGCGCTTGCAGCCCAGAAGGCCAATAACTGTACCCTGGGCTGCATCAAGAGAAGCGTGGCCAGCAGGTCAAGGGAGGTGATTCTCCCCCTCTACTCTGCTATTGTAAGGCCCCACCTGGAGTCCTGTGTCCAGTTCTGGAGCCCCCAACACAAGAGAGACCGGGAGCAGCTAGAACAAGTCCAGAGGAGGCCACCAGGATGATCCATGGGCTGGAGCACCTCTCCTATGAGGACAGGCTGAGAGAGTTGGGGCTGTTCAGCCTGGAAAAGAGAAGGCTCCAGGGAGATCTTATAGAGGCTTCCAGTACCTGAAGGTGCTACAAGAAAGCTGGGGAGGGACTTTTTACAAGGGCAGATAATCATAGAACAAGGGGAAATGGGTTTAAACTGGAAGAGGGTAGGTTTAGATTAGATATTAGGAAGAAATTCTTCACTGTGAGGGTGGCCAGACACTGGAACAGGTTGCCCAGAGAAAAAAGCCCCCTCCCTGGAAGTGTTCAAGGCCAGGCTGGATGAGGCTTTGAGCAACCTGGTCTAGTGGAAGGTGTCCCTGCTGATGGCAGGGGGGTTGGAACTAGATGATCTTTAAGGTCCCTACGACGTATTATGCTAAGTTTAAAGTGAAATTGCAATCACATCGTCAGATGATACATTTGGGGTTAGCACATCATAATTAACTTTTTCTTTTTCAATTGAACACTCACCTGTTAGAAGGGAAATTGTAATAACCACTTTCCTCTAGAACCTCTTCAATTAGAGTCTACAAGATAAAATACATTTATTTCAGTAAATTATCTTTATTAACAGTAATAAATACATATACATAGGTATATTTATAACTTACCTGCAACTGTTCATATGTCATCCCTTCTGCAATGTCAGAAGTGCCAACAATACCTTCAAGAAAAAGGCAAGCAAAGTTTTACTACTGAATGTGTGGTTCATGCTCCATCATCAGTTTCTTAGCAATTCCAGTACAAATATAATGACAAGAGATATGCTTGATTATCAGGAGCTTATTCCACTGACCACCATGACCCCCTGCAATAGTGGGAGGCATCCTATGGCATAATGTGAACATTTGAGGCACGCAATGTTATCACATTATGAAAGAGTTCTAACTGATGGAAAATATTTAAATACTTAATGCTAATAGAACACAGCAATGCAACTTTCTTACTCTTCCCCACTCACAATTTATAGTGGAAACTGGTATGCCAGTTTTAACACAAAGGCCAGCAAAATCCAAGTTTCTCACCCTTTTTTCTGGCAACAGTTTTTAATTTTACTATGTCCTCTACTCCCTGGATTGTGACGTAGCTTTTCCTGTATTTAGAAGAATGGAAATGGCACAAAGACCAAAATAGAGGCTGCACATTTCCTTTATGTGCTTTGCGCAAAGAGGCACATGATGAAACATGTCTCTGAACATGTGGTTCCCCACCATGGATGATGCCAGTGATGGTAGATTTGATTAAAGATGTAGTTCATGATTTGTCACCCTGAGTACCACTAGTCCAAAGTATATTTGACACGATTCATTTTCTGAAGTGTATGTATACACTTCATACTATATAGATGTGGTATAGCATGCACCATTTCCCTCCTCGACTTTGTAGGGCTTGATCTAGCTAGGTAATTAGATCATCCCAGTATAACTGTTTCAAACATGACAGAAGAACAGCATAGGGTTTAAACAGAATTCTTCAAAAATCATGTGCAAGGACAGGTAAATTCTAAGTAGGGTATCTTCAGTTACAAACATTTCTATTGATTTTCATGGATGAACCATATGTTATTTGTAGCTTTGATATTTCTTTGTAATTCCAAAGTATACTCTCTCAAATTAATAGAACGTTCCATGAGCAGTAAACTGCATATCTTAACCAGGAATTACACAAAACAAAAAACAACCAGCCAAAAAAAAAAAGCTGATAATGAAAATCAGTATAGTCAACATAACTTTACTGTATTTAAAGACAGACTTTAGAGCAGCAGTTCCTTCCGCTTTGACATCATACACTTTATTAGAAATATATATGCCACTACAGAGGTTTTATTGCTTTATTTACCTTTTCTATCAACTGGAAGCAACATATTTCCACCCGAAGAGAGAAGTACTACATGCCAATCTGCTGTGAAAAAGCTGGGCTCAATCAGTTCAGGAGAACCTTGCAGTAGCTGGGGAAGGAAAAAAAAAAAAGAAAGGCAGCAAAGGACACCTGAAATCACCACTCTTCCTGTTTGCCAAAACTTCAGACTTCTATGAGGCAGTTTACTCTTTCTTATGTTTCCCAGCGCAATCAGAAGTCAAAGGAGATTTCAATATTTTTTAGATTAATTAAAAGTGCTGAAGACAATTATGCACGTCCTACCTTCTTCTCTCCAGAAACACTGATGAACATTGCAAGCTGACAATCTGCTCTTAGTATTGCTTAGTGCTTAGTATTACATAGTATTACCTACTACCACCCTGAGTTCTTTAGACTATCTGAATAAAATGTTATAAACTATACATCTGTGTGAAGACGAACAGGGAAATGTATTCCCTCGAACCTAGGAGAGAAACAGCCAATGACTGTTTTTCAAAACTAGGGCTTTAAGTGAAATTGTTAGTCCATATTTAAGTGGTATAATTCCCATTAGAGGGAACCCAGCACTTCTGAAACCTGTGTCAGTTTACCTACTTGATTCAGTGAACAAGAACACTGACAATAAATTTTAAAACATCTAGTTTTCAAAATATCCACTAGTAACAACTCTGACCCAAAAATATCTTTGTGGGCTGGACAGTAATTCCAGTTATGCATTTCTACAGCATGTTAACACACCTTTACAGTTACAGAAACAGAAGAATATATGTTGCTGGAAAACTTTTACCCCATCACTGATCAGTGGATGAATCTTTTTGTCTGTTATTCTAATTCAGTTTTCTAATTTAGCACAGTAAAAAACCCACAATTTTTAAATTTTATTTGCAGAAACTGCACAACCTCGTAACAACACTTGCTGGAAGAGGGCAGCATAATCCTTTTCTCAGTTTAGGTTCTTCCTATCAGCATGCTACCCAATGTTTTTATGGTGGTGATTTTGGTAAAAAAATGTGCCATTTATTCACTGATGCTTAGCAATTCTCCATCCTTTTAACTGTGCTTTTTGTTGTTGCTTGCTATTAATAGTTTCTATAACTATTTCCTTGAAAATAAAAATACATTCAGTATTCCAAACATCTTCAATTTATGACCATTTACTTTTTAAATAGCGTATTTTTTCCCTTTTCTTCAGGTTTAAATCAAATAGTTTTGAAGCTAACACAATATTACAGTTGATAACGTTTACAAATTTATAAATAAATAGGTCCCTTTATTTCTGGGCATGTGAAAATTGAGTTAATTTCATAATAAACACTTTCTTTTTCTTACTATATTTTTGGGCATCCTTTCCTGAAACCATCAACTTAATACAAGATTAGCAAATATTTCCTTAGATTTAATGTTATGGTTGAAATACAGGAATTATTTAATGTAAATCCCAGCTTGATTTACAGGACAGAAAATTGGCATGAAACTGATGGCTCAGCCAGAGGCATCTTTAACTATCTTTCAAATGTACTACCACTGTAAACACAAAGTAGCCACTTTCCATGGAGCTTAAGCATCTGAGATTAATTATTACAAATGTACAGGAAGATTTAGCATTTGGGGTCAGTTCACTCCATAGCAAACAATGACTTAGATGATTCCACAATTCTGTGCAAGTAGGTAACAATCAGATTAGACAGGGGAATTATGTGAGTGATAAGAAAATATCTTTGTCATCAAATTTTAGATACAATAACATACCTATTAACTGCTTTGTAATCAACTAAAAAATGAACTATCTTAGCTTCACAGTCTCCCACAGTACACAGATGCTGAGGATGTCATTTTCAGATCTTCTGCTGACTACAATCTTCTCAGGAGATTTTGAAGGAACATTTAGAAATTCTGATATTAGTCATTAGCTCTTTCTCTGTTGGAGAGCACCCAGCATGTCATTGGAAAACATGCAGGCATGGTTCTTTAGTCATGTCATCCTTGCAAATCTGCGGTGTTTTTAAACTGATGACAACAAACTGTTTCTGACACAGTGTGAACAATGGGACAAGGTATGCTGTATTCAAGACACTCTGGGACAGTGCTGTCTTAAAATTCATAGTTTTAGTAGGAATATATATCAAAATAATGCTAGGAAAATAATAGTAAATTAGCTTTCAAAAATTAAGAGTTTACATAATTATTATCAGGCTTTGCCGCAAAAAGTTACATTTTCTTTCCCCTTTTCTTTCTGAGCTCTGATGATATGAAGTCTGGTTTTGCATATTAGCAGGTAGCAGGTCCTTTCCATTTACAAAAAAAAGTTCTAATGATCAGACACAAACCTGAAACCAATCTGTAGAAACCGCTTACTTAGGAAGCCTCCATATTTTCCAAATAAATGATAGCTAGAGAATATTCTAAGTATTTCCTTTTAAAAATGGAATCTTACACTTATATTTTTCTGATATTAATAGCTTAATGCAAATAGAGGAGACACAGTCACCATAGGTAGTAATTGGTGTACTACACCTTTTTCATTTCTGATTTCAGTTTACAAGGATTGCTCTGTGGACGGAACAGGGACTTCTTGAATCTCTCAATGATTCTCCTTTTCAGGTTGCATTGCAAAGCTGGAGGAAGCTACACAAAATAAAGAAACAGATCTTTTCACCACTCAGTTACATCTCCCATAAAGATGATCTAATCAGCAGGACCATTACTGAAAAAAGTAGCTACACTGCAAAAAGAAACATTGATGTTCAATAGCATGGTGATGTTAAATAACAGTACAAGAGTTGATATAATGGCACTTCAAGAAGCTTAGACCTTCATTCAGTGTGTGTAGAAATTAATGTGAATCTTCCTCATGGCTTCAACAGGCTCTTTTAAGGTCCTTATGTACATCTTAATATGATTTGGAATATTTCTTTTGCTAGAAGCTTCCTGTGGTGGGCAATTTACATTTCACTTGTCTATAAAGCAAAACTGATTTTGTATACTTTTTCTCCTGTATTTTTTGGTTGAAAAAGTACACATCATTTAACTATATTTATAAAAGAAAAGGACAAATCATACTTTATTGTGTTTTAAAGCGTTCAATAGACAGTTCAAAGAAGCTCTCTTCCTTTGCTCTTTGAGATTTTAAAATAATTTTTATGCTCCAACAGTAAATGTAAAGCTTCAGTTGCTGGTCACTGCAATGACACCAGCCTAGTCTGATGACAATTCTATGGTATGCACTGCCCTTTTGGAAGGATCTCCTATACTGTTTCTGTATAGTTGCTTACACCTGAAGACAGTGTTTATAAAACTACAATTTTCTACCATTTAGTACAGAGTTTATTATCATGTTGCTGATATAAATTCACAAAGAGCCACTCCATTGAATTCAGGAAGCTTTTTTGATTACTCAGGGAAGGTTTGACCACTAATGATTCACATTCGAACACTGGCACAGTACACATTATAAAGATTTTTTTCCCATTGGAAAAAATTACTGTTCTTAGATGGCTACCAACCCGGAACAGCTATATTTGTCCCACAGGAGTCCTGATTTGCTCTGGCAAACCAGGGATTAAGGTTACATCCTAAGCATAAGGGACTTCATTAGACAGCTGGTAGCATAGAGTTTTTTGTTACAGATAGATACTACTCTCTTTTCATGCAGATAAGGCCTTACACATATGCTTTAAGTCAGATGTCAAATCTTCCTTAGCCTATAAGTGAGCTAAAAAAAAAAAAAAAGATGCCTTAGGAAAAGCCTGCAAGATCCTCTACAGATTACATGCAACTGGAACGAACTGTGTGCAGTTAATGGACCATGGGCATACTATATTATGAAGCAGAAGTGGTAAAGGACAAGTCCACTGCATGAGAAACTCGGAGTTGCCTTGGGCACTAGTGTTCAATTGTAGCTTTTGTTTTAATGAAATCAGATGTCAGATCGGTCAAAAAAAAAAAAAAAAGAAAAGAAAAGAAAAAAAACCCAAAGATTTACATAATGCTTTTTTAAAAAGCTTTCCCTTACATTGTTTTCCAGAGATCACTCTGACTCTTGTTCCCATGGCAACAGGATTGGAAAGGCTGCTGGCAGCCAAGAACTAACAGGCGAGAACTCCCCCTTGTAAACAACTTCAGTTTGGAACTGTCAGCTGAAATATGTAATAGGGTTTTAGAAAGCAGTTATGTATTATAAAAAATATTCTCTCTTAGATTTGTAAGAACATAAACAAGCACAAGGAAAGCATATAGTACACAGTGAACAAATATTCTGTGTCCTGGTTTCTCTGCCTTCCCCATTCTGGAGCCAACTGACACCAGAAGCATCAAAGTTGTTACTACTGCTTCAGTGGTCAATTCTGAGTAAGTCCTTGAGTCACTGTTAGTTCTCAGTTATTAGGCATCCATGTTACGATAACTTGCATTAATTGTTAGGTCACTTGAGAAAAATTTCTTCAACAGAGACTATAGGTTCACTAGTGAGCATCTTGGATATGCTCCTAATACAGCATATAAAGACTGAACTGCCTCATTTCTGTTAGCAGGTGAAGGAGATGATTCTTGCAACAAATTCAATCAATTCTGATTATTTTAAATAATAATTGTTTTCTTTGTCCTCGATAATTTGTTTCCTGTAATACCTGTTTCAATAAGCTTGACAGTTTAAAACAAAAGCAAAAAAAAAAAGACCACACCCAAGTTCAGTTATGCTATTCTCTTTTAAACAAAAACATACAAATTTGGCTCAGCAATCTGAAATTCCCTCAGGTGATAAACATCACTTCCTCAATATAAACTCTTCATTTTGGAAAATAAAGGGATGTTTATTTAATAATAGCAAATTTTGAAAGCAACTGAATAGCAGCCATCTTTCTGGAGAATAAAAAGTTTTCAGTCAAATTTTTAGTTGAGATTTCAATACAGCTCCATTTTTGCTTTGGCATCAGCATGAAATAACTTCAACTCTCTTTAACTATGAAACATTTGAACTTAATTTTGAAATAAGACTTAAGTTTGAAAAAGATCAAACTATTTAACACATTCAGGATTTGAACTATTGTACTAGAAATCCCAAGAAATTATTCCTAATTATTGACAATAAAAATTATTACTTTGAGGTTATTTAGAAATTATTACTATAGCGGAAAACTTTTTATATACTCTCCATGTCAGTATATGATATTAAATCATTTAAAATATTCATATTGTTGGCATGACAGAATGTTATAAAAATAATTTACTGTACAATCTATCTTTCTGAGGTGAGCCAATGGATTTTTTTCATGACTCAATTACTGCCATCCTCCACATACTAATATTCAAGATTAGTCTTTATTTAAATGCTATATTTTTAAAAAATCCTGCCATCTGCAAAAATGTCAAGTTCTGTTGTTTTTAAAGAACAGTGACTAAATTAGCAGCACTTTGCAGCACCGTCATTTTGACAACAGCAAATAACTAAGAAGCATAGAATGTCAGAAGCAACAGTAATGCATACTTGAGTGATGAAGATAATTTTGTGCAGCTGAGTAAGAATCTGCTGAACAGGGTCAGTGATCTGATGCACCTTCCTTTGTGATACAGCAATTCCTGCCAATGCTGTAGATGACAACAGTAAAATCAGGAGGACAGCTCATTTTGTCACCTTAATATATCAATACTGTGCACTGTTTCATACCTGTAGATGGAAATATTACATTTTAATGCATGACTTTTTTTTCCCAAATACTGTTGGGAACAAAAAAAGATAATCTAAAAACTTAAAAGATTAGATAATGTAATTGATAATGGGTTTCAAAAGAAAATCCCTTTCATACTAAGTTACTCTAAGATAAAAGAAGCATTAATGTACCTCACTAATCATAAACATTTTCACAGATTTATTCAAAATGAAATTTAAAGATACAATAAACAGATTTTTCTTATTTTCACTCATTTTTTTCTAAAAAAGTGTGTAGACTAACACACTTGATATTTGGTTTATATATTCTGATGTTATGAAATTAATTTTTATTTTACCCTAAGAATTACAATGTAATGTCTGATGTGGACAATTTGGAGAACAATTATGTTAAAAAATATTTTCATGCTGCCTTATAGCGATGTGTGCTGCTTTATCACAGCTACTTTTTTTCCTCAACATCTAGCAAAGGCATGTTTTGAGAAACCTCAAAACAATATGCAAGAAGCTATGAATCTCTTCAGTCTTCTTTAGTTTGGAGGAGAAAATTAGTGGTTTCTGTTCTTTGCCATAAATTCCTCCCCACCAGAGATGATGCTATCTAAAGGAGGTATTGATGGAGACTCTGGAAGGGACCTGTTATAAGCATTCTCCATTATGAAAATGACCTCACCATAAAGTGCATAAACGACATTTTTCATGTTTAGAATAAAAGAACATCAATGCTAAGCAAAGAATAATGCTGTAATAATTCCTTTCCCCACAAAGGAAAGCATACAGACAATTTTTATGGCAAGGAGCAAGAAAGCTGAATTTTCTTATCTTATGAAAATAGCGAGTACATATAAACCTGTTCCTTTTCCTCTAAAGTTAGACTATCATCCTCTGTCGAGCAAATCCACGTACATAATGGATTTTCATAGACAAAAGCACTGCAAAAGAAGCCATGCAGTAATAGAAACACAGAATCGTAGAATCATTAGGTTGGAAAAGACCTTTAAGATCATTGAGTCCAACCGTAAAAGTAACACTGTGAAGTCCACCACATCCCTAACCGTCACATCTTTTAAATATCTACAGGGATGCTGACTCAACCAATACCCTGGGCAGCCTGTTCCAATGCTTGACAACCCTTTCAGTGAAGAAGTTTTTCCTAATATCCAATTTAAACCTCCCCTGGCGCAACTTGAGGCCCTTTCCTCTCATTCTATTACTTGTTACTTGGGAAAAGATACCGACCCCCACCTGGTTACAACCTCCTTTTAGGTTGTTGTAGAGAGCGATAAGATCTCCCTTCAGTCTCCTTTTTTCCAGACTAAACAATTCCAGTTCCCTCAGCTGCTTCTCATAAAACTTGCTCTCTAGACCCTTCACCAACTTTGTTGCCCTTCTTTGGACGCGCTTGTCTTTCAGCAAAATAAATGTAATGCCACAACAACTTTGACCTATTCATTTACTACTATGTGTTAAAATCCGATTCAAAAATATATCAGCTGTGTGAAAATATTTAGTTCTTGGAATCAAGAACTGAAAACAAGAGCTGAAAGTGAAAGTTTCTTTCTCCCACTGAATTACTGTTTAGGACTTATCACAAACAGCCATTGAATCGGATACGGCCTTGGTCATGCAGAATTTGATATAGATAGATATACTTGTTTACTGTAGGTACACTTTTTCTTGTAGTACAAATAGCTTGATGAATACTGCTTTTTTTCTGAAGCAAAACTGCCCTAATGTGCTAGCAAATATCTATATCCAAATATCCATGTGATATCCATGCTGTATTCAACGAGATATTGGAAAAATAATAGTCATAGGCGGTTTAATAAAAAGCAAAGCAACATTCACTTGAGAACCTAAATGAGTGAGCATTATGTAAAATTTACAAAGCAGAGTAAACTCAGTACTGATTTGTGGATATTATACCTAAAGGTTTAACTATATTTTATTAACTAAATAGCATTATGAACTCACCTATTGAACCAAAAAAAGACATGATAATTTATTTGTGTTCCATGGAATAACTCTAATTTCAGCAATAAGAACCAACAGAGGAATACTGCAGATCAAGCTTTAGATAATTTAATAGAATTAGAACATAGAAGTAAATACTATATATTCTACAAACTGTGTCGATTTACAAAATATCATTCAGATTTAAAATATAACAATTAAAACAAATAAAACAGCTTTATTCTTATTCACCTAGTGCTCCTCTATCATGCTTTGCCTGCTGAGAAAGAGTACAGAGCCAAAAATAAATCAGATTCTTGAATTTTGATGCAGTAAATAAATCGGGTTTTATGTTTTTTAATCTTGTATCTTTAAGTCATACACACTGTCAGACCTAGAAATTAAATAAAAGTTATCAGCAGATTGCCACTATAAAAAACTTAGTGTATCACTAAAGAATATTAGTTAACAAAATTACCTTTCCACGTTGAGTACTAAATCTGAAAGCTAAGCTTAGGCCCTGAACTTCAGCCAGCAGCCCTGTATCTCTCTTAAATCCAGTTATCTCTGAACTACACTTCAAAGGCTAATTTAGATCCATATTCTAAAATTTCCTCATTCAGAAACACCCTCAGGATCATAAAGGCTTATGTACAGATTTACATCCACCTGATTTTTTTATTTTTTTATTTTATTTTTTTTTGTAAAGTGATCTGGTATCAAGAGTGAAAATTCCACTGCGAGGGAGAGGAAATCCAAATACCAAATTTAAGTAGCCCACAACTGAACTATTATAATTTTTTCCTGCCGAATTTCTGTGCTGGCTACTTTAACAAGAAGTAAAGACATTCACAAATTTAGGTCTCTAGGGACCAACCAGATCTGAGCTGCACTCTCACAGAAAATAAAGAGGTATCGAAAATGTCATTCTTTATCACAGAGGCACACATTTCTAGTAGAATAAAGAAGATAACAACATCATTACTACTGTTGGATTTTTTTGTGGCAATGCCTTTTGGCAGATAAGTTGAGAGAGACAAGTGAAATTCAGTTTGACTTCTTCTCCTATATGTCTCCTCTTAATAATCAGTAAGACGAAGAGAAATTTTGCTTTTCCCTGAGCCACTTAGAGAAGAACTTAGGCTGGTCTTTCTACTCAAGGTTACTGTAGAAGCCAAGCTATAATAATATAAAATATTATATGCCACAATAATTATTTTGATTTAGCTCTTTTTTGCTGCATTTTTACCTCTCTACCAACTGATTCAACATTTCTATATTCAACCCCAAATAAATAGTGTGGTCTTACCACTGCAACCTAGGGATCTTCAGTTTTTGTTAGAACACTGATAAAAACATTACTTCCTTGACATTTTACCTTTTTCACTGGTCCCTGTTCTGTGGTATTTGACTTCTCCTTTGTTGTCACGGGCTTGCATTTAAGAAAAAAAAAAAAAAAGCAAATAAATTAGTGCCCTAACTTTTGTGGGTCTTCTCAGATTTTTTTTTTTTTTCTGAAGAAAAACTATGCTTAGAATGATATTGGCAAACAGAAAGGACTGAGTAGGACATAATATGGATTTCTCTGTTATTCAGTACATAGAGCTTTCTCTCTTTTCTAGTATGACAACAACAATATGACTTACCAGTCTAGGAGAACCAGATATAATGTGTATGTGCTTCAAAGACAGCTAGAGACCCAATGTCCAGCTAGGAACTTTAGGAGTCTCCATAAAGTCTGTGTATTCCAGACCACTCCACAATTATATTATTTTTAAATATAGAAGTTTAGTGTTATTTGGGGAATGATGGCATGCGTGTGTGAATAGGCTGCTCAGGACTTGATCAAAACTTTTAAGAGTTTTACCCAAAAGGAAAACATTACTGACAAAAGATACTGGATTTCCCCAAATTACCCAAAGGACTGAAAACACTGACAAAGGTTGAAGTGTTTGTCTGCAGATCACTATAACTATATAGTATAGACAAAAAGTACATTTTAAAGACCATCAATATTCCACCTACTCAAAATAATTTTCTTTCAAATATTAATTCAGATAATACACATTCTGAAGTCTCAGCTTAGCAGCATAGAGTATGTGAAGCTTTTCAGTAAGAAAGAAAAGTACCTCAAATGAAAAACTTATTTCATCAATCATGATGCAGAAATACATGATAATTTGCAAAGGCTCTACGAAAGATTGCTTTAATAGGAAAAATTCCCATTGCATTCCACACAGGTTTAGCCAGGATAATGGCCATTAAAATGAGGTCTTACTGATTTACTACTGGAATTCATATTTTTAAAAAAATTTTTTAAAGATATTTCAGATAACATATTTGCATCTGCAATGTAAATATATGCTTTTCTAACATTTAAAAATATAATTACAAGATAATACCATGATTTTTCATATTGCAAAGAACTACAACTGGAAGACTATAAGACTGCCACCCTGCTGCTAATTAATCCTCTATTTTCTTAGTGTAGGCGCTGCACATGAATGGAGGCACTCTCAAGGGCAGATCAATGGGCAGGAAAGCTGAAGAAATAAAAGAGAAGACAAGCTATATGCAACAGGAGAAGAAAGTTTAAAAACTTGGAAATTGTTACATTTAATTAAAGTTAAAGTTTATTTTTGTTGCAAGCACAAAATTACCTGGTCGCAGTCTTGATCCCAGGCCTTCAATATAATCTCTATTATTAAAAAAAAAATAAATGTTTTAATTGTGTTTGGCATCAATGACTATAGAGGAAATATCATTATTCCATGACTCTTTCTCATGTTTCCTCTAAAGGAAGTCTATCCAAGTTTACTTATTTTTAACTGTGCATTTATAAGTCACATGAAGGCTGGCTTACTCTACTTGTCCAAAATAGCATGACTTCTACGTAATAAAAGTTAGATTCCACGCCTTTCCCTGCTCAATTTTTATCCTGGAAAGTACAAAAACAGTAAATAGGATTTTATATTTAAAACTCAATAACCCACTAGATTACACATTATTTTGCATCTATACAGGTTTAAGCACATTTCAATTCACTCATCTATACAAGTTTAAGTACATTTCAATTCACTCATTTTATGGATGGAAAACATAAAGAACAAAGTAATTATTGCTAGCAGATAAAAATAGGACTACTAAAGTACACAGTACAAGTAAAGTGGGGGGGAAAAATATATTACATCCCCAGCACAGCAATACCTCAATGTCAGAAATACAGGTCCAGAAGTTTCAATGCTAAGTTCTTCTGCTCTATAGTCAACACAAACACTGTCCCAGCCTTCAGATTTCACTTGCTGAGATAAGCAACAACAAATGGAAACAGATGGAGAACTGAAAGAACCAATATGATGTCCTGATGGATGGCAGCCTCAACAGCCATAGCATGGCAAGAATTTGTATATATTTTTTAGGTAGTAGGGAAAATTACAGCTGCAAGGAGTAGTTATAAAGAAAGATAACGAGACAGTTTTGCTAATGTTTATGTGAGGGGCAGAGACAAAGAAAAAACAAATGTGCTTACTTCAACATTGAAGCATCAGGAGGCTGCCATTACTGACTGCAGCAGAACTAAAGCTGGAAAGCTAGTGAGTGATAAGTGACAGACTGGATGCTGATATGCTAAGAACCCCGAAAGCAAAAATGAGGTATGGAATTTAAAGTCATAGGAAAAGCATAACCAGTAAAAGCATCCACACAGAAGATGGCAAGGTTTCAGGTAGGGCTTTAGCAATGTTCCTTGCAGCAGTGTTCTGAAGGAGCATTTGAGTGACTAGAATGCACGTATCAAAACCAGGGAAGATGCTGCTTGCATGATAGCCTTATGACCCCAAGTAAGAGTTTTAGCATCGTGTATTGATAGCAAAGGTTATATCTTGGAGGTGCCAGTCAGAACAGTGAGACATATTCTGAATGCAAGAACTTCGGGAGATACACAAGTTAAAGTGGATGCTCAGATGTCAAAGTATTGACGGATGTTATTTTTGAGAATGATCAAAGCCTGAGTTAATGGGTAGGACTTTAGAAGCAGGCAATGATGATGTTCCTTTTAGTTATGTAGTACTCAACTGTATGGAACTTGGAAGAGGCCATGAAACAGCTTAGTAAGAGTTGCTACAGTAATATCCCTTAAGGAAAAACTGGATCAAACAGGGTCTGTGGAGAAATAGGGGAAAGGAATCAATGCTATTATCATAAATACTTACCTAGTTAAATTAAAGGTAAGAGAAAAAACATTGTTCAGGAAGCAGATGGAGCCAAGAGTGATTTTGGGGGTTTTTTCAGATGTGAAGAAAAGCAGAAATTAGGAAACAAAAACCAGAGTCTATGAATAAGAGAGGTGCCAAGGAAATCAGAAAAAATAATGGTTTGTCAAGAATGTGTCTGATGCATTTCTGAATAAACAACAAGAAAAAGGAAAGACCTTTAGAAGGAGAATGGGGATGGCCATGTCATATTCTGTTTTGATTGTTTCCTTTTTGAAAGAAATGAGAAAGACTCCAGAATTCCAAAAACAGGTGTATATATATTTATACAGAAGGTCTAGAGGAGTTCAAAGAGACAAGATGTTACTCTACACTATCAAATTCACGAACATATTTTTCTACGGAAAACAGCCACTTAAAAATGCAAAACCAGAATTTGGGTAACCAACTACTGTCAGTTTAAGCTGAGGTAGAAAGGTCCACTTTTAAAACATTTATCAGTTTAATGCCAGTCCTTAAATTACTCACATAAAGCTTCTGTGTGCAAACACCCTCAGACAATATCCTTAAGCAGAATGAGTGTCATAGGCTGAGATAAAATGAAGTTGTAACAATAAGTAAGGAAATGTTTCATGGAGGCAATCGCACAACCCTTCCACTGTGAAACAGCTGACGGGAATTGATCATAACAACGATCAATTGTATAATCTATACTAAAATCATAAATCGTACCTACCTAATCTGAGGTCGTCTTTCAGAAGCACTAAAACTTCCTTTAATTATACCTGAAACAAATGCATAAATATTACCCCTGCATGAAAAAAATATACATACATGTTAATATTTTGTATTTCCCAGATATGGTGTCAAAATAACTTTTAAAAAGCAGTATTAAACAAACTCCAAACCCTCATTTGTCTATGGAGTTGTTTGATGTATCAAAGATTTGCTTGCATCATAACCAAAACCTCAGCCCCACATAGTATTTTAATAAATGCCTTCAGAATTTCACAGAAACTAATAACACACCCTGACTAGATGTTCACAGAAGATGTATCTGGATTTCCATTAAATAACTGCCTCAGTTACTGCTACCACTGTAGCCACAACATTGTCTCTAGTCTGGATAAAAAGCTAAAATATTTACCCACTTTCTCAAAGGACCTTTGACGGGTTGTCTAAACCTTGTTCTACCAGGGGTTTATTGCCACCATTCTATTAGCTAATTATTCAAACTACCACATATGCAATTCCTTCCTTCTCAAAAAATGTGAAGAGGGAGGGGTAATGTTTGAGGATATTTATTATTTATGCACTTGAAAAGCACTGTCTTAAAGTAAGTGTTTGCCTTAAGCATGTCTTAAAACATTCCTGTAAAATCATTCCTTTGATGGTAATTTTGACACATGAGACCACTCTCTCCTACAAATGGTAACTCATGTTGAAAAGAAAAGGAAAAAAAAAAAATTAAATGTCAAACTTACTTACACTGGTTTTCCTATTGCTGGAAACTGTTACAGCAGTTATATTAGTTCTAGAGTAACAGTAGAGGACTTTCAGAGAGCAAACACATTTCTGAGAGTCTTAAATCATTGATTTGTGTTCAAACATACTTTCAGTTGTTCTCTGAAATATATTACCTCTATTTTTCCTACTTTTCCTACTTTTTTTTCCTACTTTCCTCTGAATTAAAAAAAAAAATCCTGAAGGAGGCTGGCATCTGGCACACAGAATTCACTTTAAAACCAAAAGAAATTATACAACTTTAGGCCTCATCTGTCTCCCTAAAAAGAAGACGCACAGAGAGGAAAAGAAACAGTACTTCATTCCTTTATAATGCGTTGCTTAGCAAAACAGATATTAAAATCCTGCAGTAGTTAGACCAAAAGAAGGTTTGATAAGAACAATTTATTTACTCAATAGCAAATAAACTAGACCCTTATAGAGTAGAAGATGCTTCAATTAGCTTTAACACTGAGACAGAAAAATAAATAGGAAAATACAGTCTCTACTGTCTAGAAAGTAAAGAAGGTCTTTGGAAACAAAAAAATATGATTGTGCCTGTTGAAGGAACAGATATTTCACCTGTTTAGGATGCAGACACAATAATACAAGAACTAAATTAGAAGCTTTGACTGAACCTGAATCCTGTTGCTTGGGGTAGGGATTTTGAGTTACAATCTCAGACACTGTTATAACAAAGACTATATAATATATTATGGGAATATATGCGAGAAAATCGGTAACAGAAGCCACACAGCTAGAAAGTTAAGTTTGAACACAGCTGTTTGCTACAATTTTAAGAACAGTTCCCCTTTCAAAGTATTCATATACAAAATTGGATTTGAAATACTATACCCTTTGGCTGTTTCACATAAATGGTCTCTCTCTCAGTAAAGGGCACAGATCCAAATTTTCTTTATCAGTTTGATGATTCACCACATTTGACTTGCTAATCTGCCAGTTTATGAGTGTATTTACAAGTGCATGATATTTCACACCAAAGAGTCTGTCTCACCACTCACTGTACATGGTAGAGACAGAATGTTTCTAATTTATATGCTAAAATCAGGAAAATACTTATGAATGCTAAAAAACCAAAACAAACAAGAAAAACCAAACAGAAATCATGAGGCAGAACATCATTAAATAATAATCAACACCCTTCAGCCCCATTTTTATTGCTTATTATTATTATGTTAGAGACCCACTGAGCAGCTACAACCAAACGAGGAGTCTTTTTATGTTAGACACTACAAAAACACAGCGGAATAACTTCTTCAATAACTAAGCACAAGGATACTCAGACATCTAAAAATCATCGTAACAAACACATTCATGTGCGTATACACACATCCATCAAACACTAATGACTTCAGTTATAATATTTAGACTTTTGTGTAAGAATTATGCTAATCATACAAAGCCAGACAGGGAGTAAGAAACAACACAGATGAATAGGAATGTCAACTAACGTAAGTCATGGAGCACATAGCGCATCCTGATGTTCAGCCCAGGGTATTACTTGGACCATATTTCCTTTTACCATGGTTACTCCTTTGCCATGAATGGGAAGAGCAAGGCAACATATCTTTTGTTCAAATGCCTTGTAAGAGGGAATTTCTCTGTTCAGGATGATCTCAAGGAAAATGAAATCTAAATCCTCCTTCTTTTTCCTGTTTTGTGCCCACCCTTGTTGGAATGTGAAAGGCACACAAAAGACAAAGCTTTTGTTTCTTATCAGCTTCTCTATTCTGAATAGCTCTATGAAGATTCCTTCAGGACATGAAAAAATTAAATATATGTATATATATATCTATCTTCAATGAGCCATCAAGAATTTTTCTCACTGCTACCTTGGTCTTTAATAGCTGACATAATTAAAGCAACTCCTAAGGTTTTAACTTCATAATATGCACTGACATCATTGCAAACCATACAAATACATTCTAATATGCAGTTTAGTGGTGCTCTCTTGCAGGCACCTAACCACGTAATTTCAAGAAAAGAGCTTATAACATAATATGAATTCAGAAAAACCTGGGAAAATAGTAACTTTTGCTTTGGCTTTCACTTCACTGATCTCTAAAAAAAAAAAAAAAAATCCCTGAAAACCCTTTCATGTTTGACCAGACTGATGGGAAAATTGAATCAAGATTTCACATTAGCAGAAAACTTCAGTTCATCTCCTTGAATTAAATGGAAGCAACTGAAGTGTTTTTCTGAATGACGGCTTAATGATCTTTTCAAGAGAAAGGTCAAATTACTTTTATTTATACAAAACACTCTTAGTAAGCTGCCCTTTAAATCACTGTACACTGGAATGGACTGTCCCAATCATGTTAATTAAGCTGTTTTGCAGAGCAACCAGAATTAAGTTTTTTGCTCATTAGCAGTGACTACATGTACAGCAATAGAAGTTGCCATAAGCACACTCTAAGCTTAACTCAAGCATCATACAAGAAAACCCGGTCTTGGCAGATCTTATTCTAGGTGATGTCTTCAATAAATTCTCATTAAACTGAGGTCTAAAGAGAAATATGAATCTTAGACAAAGTCAATTTGGGAAAAACAAGCCTACAAAACATTGTAAGATCCCCAAAATTCTTCACAGCCAGTCATTGTGCAAATTATGGATTTCTTGATGCAATAATCATTTTCAGCACTGTCACTCACACACATACCAGCTTCTGTGCCAATGAACAACTCAGTATACTACACCTTTTTACAAAATACCACTCCAGTTTTAAAATAGAGCAATATTTTTCTACATTTGCAGATCTTGTTTTCTCTGAAAGTGATGTGATGGCAGTGTCACCAAAATCAGGAATGAACTTCTTAACACCAATGTAGTCTGAAGAAGCAGGCATTCTTTATTGCGGTGCTGGATGCACAGGGGATCACTCCACCTATTGTGCATACCCACTCGTCCCTCTACAAAAGCTTTATACTATCAAAACATGCATATTCATTTCTTTTTCCAAGAAATTATTAACATATTCATCACATTTCCAGGAACTCATTAATACATTGAAATGTCCTTTTCGCATGTGTACTGGTCATCTTCGGGGGTCAGCTGATGATCGTAGAAACTTTTGTCACTGTGCCCTTCAGTTGGATTTTTTCTTCTGCACATGCTTGGTTCATCTCTTGGCCTGTTTACAACACTTCTGTCTCCGCAAAAATGGTTTATTCCAGCATCACTATCTTATCAAAGATTCAATGCCTCAAGTCTCCTGTTATCTGTTTTACACTATAAACTTGACTAGGCCGAGCTGGTACGTAACTAACTTCCAATGTCACGTTGTTTAAGCAGAAGGGGATGTTCTTTTGGTATCAATTACCCCCTTTTGTTTTGGGGGTTTGTAGCTATTAAGCTTCAATTAATTTTTATTTCCAGCAAAGGTTAGAGCAACTATTACAACATTGGATACATACTGCTATGATAAAAATAATTAATAGAAACAATCTTTTTAGCCAAGTCCTATTTGGTATTCAAGAAGTTAGTTTATGCCGAATTTCCTCAAAATCCCAGGAGGCGTCACCTTTAGCAACTTCATATAATATTTCTTTTTGTTTCCCGATCTCTCACAAATCCCTAGTGATTCTGCTACTTTTATCTACATACACACAACAACTCATGTTTATGATTAGGAAACACTGCCTTGTGAAGCAAATAATAAATGAAGGGCCATCCTGTTTCTGATCACGACCTTTGACAGGCTAGATACTGCAATTTGCAGAGCCTGTATGGCATCAGTGGTTCTGTTCTCAATGTTCTCTGTTACTGCTGAAACGTTCACTATAGATTTTTCTAATTCACTTACCCCAAGCCCTGGGAGAAACCATCTTGCAAAACCATGAAACTCATAGATACTGCAATTTGCAGAGCCTGTATGGCATCAGTGGTTCTGTTCTCAATGTTCTCTGTTACTGCTGAAACGTTCACTATAGATTTTTCTAATTCACTTACCCCAAGCCCTGGGAGAAACCATCTTGCAAAACCATGAAACTCAGAGGGCCTGTCAGCTATAGCATTATAAACCCCCTTTGTTCATTTAAGGAAAGTTCTTCCTACCCCTCCACCTTGTGAATGTGGTCTGTCAATAATTGTGATGTTGGGAACTAAAACTCCAAGGGGTATGGAGGTCCCATTTTATTCACAGAACTGTACTGATTTGTTTTAAGATTTCTGCTATTAAATGAGGATCTTTATCTGATGACATTCCCATTGGTACCTCGAACCTGGGTATTTTCTCCTTTAGTAAACACTTAACAACTGCTTTAGTTTTGTTGGTGCAGCAGGGAAAGGCTTCTGGCCATCCTGAGAAAGTATCAACCAGCACCAGAAGGTATTGAGAGCCATTTCCTCTCGGCAATTCAGAAAAATCTATTTGTCAATAATCACCAGGAGTGCTTCCCCTCCTGGTTTTACCTGGTGGGGGTCGTCTTCTATTTACTGGATTGTTTTTCAAACACACTACCATCTTGACAATTTTATTGATTCTGACACTAAGTACCTGTGTCCTCAGACTGTTAATCATAGCTTCTATGCCTCAATGAGTTTCTCTGGGTTTTTCTTCAACTATTATTTTGATCATCAGTAGTGGCAGAATGATAATTTGACCTTCAGGAGTTATCAACCACCCACCCTCATTTTCAGTTGCCTTTAATACTAGGGACAATTTTTTATCTGTTTCACTATAATTTGGTGCTTCAGCCCATTTTTTTTTAATCTGCTTTACTATAATGTGGTGTTTCAGATGTCAGTTTCAACTCCTTTACAGGTATTAGAGCCAGGATGCCCTTCTCTGCCACTTCTTTTGCTGTTCTGGCTGCCAATCTGTTACCTACATGGGCTGCAGTATTTCCAGACTGGTGAGCCTTGCAATGCACTACTGCCACTTTCTTGGGTTTTTGCACTGCTTGTCCAAATTGCTCCATGAGCATGCCCCACCCCAAAGGCATATTTAGAATCAGTCCATATTTATCTTCTTTCCTTGAGATATTTCAAGAGCTCTTGGTGATTAATTCTGCCTTTTGTGCTGATGTACTTACAGGCAATGCTTCAGCTCCAATCACCTCATCAGTGGTGGTAACAGCACATCCAGCCATCCTCTTCCCCTCACGAACAAAACTACTTCTGTCTGTGTACAACTCCAGATCTGGTCAGTGAGTGGTTCATCCTTGAGATTGGTACGACTATCATACACCTGCGCTATGGTTTGCAAACCATCAGGCTCTAAGGATTCCTGGTCCTCAGTTTTAGACTGGAGGAAAATAGCAGGGTTTATCGCACTGCCTGTCTTAAGTCCCACATCGTCCTGTTCCAAGAGGACAACCTGGTACTTAAGCATTCTGCCAGGGGATAGTCAATGTTCCCTTTCTACGCCAGTACTGATATAAACAGTCAGTTGTTGTCCCATTTTGAGTTTTCGGGTCTCTTGTATCAAGAGAACTGTTGTGGCCACACCTTGTAGGCATCCTGGCCATCCTTTACTCACATCCCACAGGTCTTTTCTATTCCCCCAGTCTTTGGGTCAGCACCCCACGTAACAAAGAAGAAGAAAAAGCTTTTTTTTTTTTGCTTTTTTTTTTAAAAAAAGCCTTGATAATAAACTCAACTCAGGGCTGGCGAGCCACAGGTCCTCCAGCCTTTAGAATGGAAGGCTATCCAGTTACAATTAGCAAGTCATATTAATAGATTTTAAATAGAATCATCAAATCATTTATTTACACTGCACTAATTGCTAGACATTTTGATTAAAAGCAGTTACATTTCTTCAGTACCTGGACCAAAATCTGAAGAAAACCCAGCTAGCAAAGAGCACTACAAACAGATAAAGTAATGTTATTCTACATTTTTTGAAGCCTGGGACCCTGAAACAATAAAATTTGTTAATCTGGAGTCAACTACATTCCCTTCTCCCTTTACAAGGACAGTTTAAATCATCCACAGATTTTCTGTAAGAACTTTGTGGGATGAATGGAAGTCTTAAATTTTGCTCAGCTGTAATATCAATCCTTTTCTTCTAGTATAAAATGCTCTTTGATTTTCCTGTAATCAGAATCCCATCCTATTTATTAGGTAGACCATCGTAGCTCAGAATTTAGCAGGTAGCTTACAATGCTTAAAAATGTTTTACTTTTTTATTTTTTAATTTTCATATTTAGAATATAATCCAAAAAAACTATTACTTAAGATAACGCTCAACACAGCTGGTGCTTTCCTATCTGATTATCATAAATCACTATAAGCAGAATTAATGCTGTGTTTTGTCACATAATCCCTTCCTAATTTGCATCTACTCATTAAGCATTACTTCAATTCCAGTCAATTCAACTAGACAGCTAAAGCTTGCCTCTTTCAACTTTCTTTATTACACCCTCTAACAGGGCACTCCATTTATTCATTTGCACAGCATTAGTGTTACCGAGACAGACGCTTCCACATTGTCTTCCTTCTGTTTCTTACCAACACTAGTTCTCTTATGCTTCAAATCTAAAAACACCTTCTTTGTCAATTTGCCCAATAATATTCTAGTTTTCACAGGCATTACTGCAAAATACAGGGACAAACTACACAAAGAAAATGTGATGCAAAATGTATTATACTGGAAACGGCTGGAATTGTGCCACAGAGGCACAATTATTTTAGTTTTCTTTTGCTTAGAACCCACAATATATAGTGAACTTGCAATGAATCATAAAATACCCTAATATTTTAGAATAAACAACTACTTTGCTGTTAGAAAGTAGTGTACACCTCATTCGTAAGGAATCTTACCAAAAGCAGACTCTTTCAAATGACTTGAACTGGGGCTGCTTGAGTTGTCCAACATGTCCAGATCATCATCTAATTCAGAGATTATATCTGCACATAAAAATGAAAGCAAAGAAGCTCTTTACCCACCTCTGACCAGCATAATAGTACACCTGATGTTTCTTTTGCTAATAACTACCTTTCTCAGAGTTCTCTGAAGTGCTGTGATCCTCTACCAGGATTTCTTCGTATGTTCTTTCCTCATCTTTTCCACATGCAGATTGACAGCTTTCATCTGGGAGGTCAGTATTTTCTGAAAATTCACTTTTGCAACTGGCTGTGCCACTGCTGTGGTTATGAAGACTCAACTTTTCAAAATGTTTCTGACAACAAAGAATAAAAAGAAAATGTTAGATATTGTCCTTATCCAGCACTGACTAGAAAACCTGCAAATTAAACTGTCACTTGCATATAGACACACACATAAAAATATACTTTTTGTTCCCACTTAGCTGTTAGTCCAGGACTACACGGCACCAGGTTTAGCCACCGATTCTAAATTTAGAGCAAAACTTTCAAACTCTTAACCTAACCAAATTATTTCTAGCCTTTACATAAAAGGCTTCTTTGTTCCTGATGAAGGTCTTTTCAGAACAAGCACTGAAAGTGAAAAAAATGAAACTAACACCACACCAGAAAGAAATACTGAACAACACAAAAAATAAAAGACTGGATAAAGAGAGCAGGTTGCCTCTTTTAGGCAGGTTTACTCTCTTCCAGCTTAGAAAATGAACAGCAGTCCAGTTCTGGGCAACGCAAAACCTGCACAACACTCAAGATGGTATTAAAACACAAAGTGGACTTGATATGATGTGGTGCCAGAGAGACCCCCTCACAGCTCAACTGACCAAATGCTGACTGGCATTACCAAAGCAGAGCTAAGAAAAATCAAAACATGGAATATAAATTATTTGCCTGTAACATTTAAGTGCTGAATCTTGTCTGTAGCATGGGGCTCTTCAAAATTCTGCCTGTGCCACTGTCAATGTTTATAGCTTTTCTGGAAAGAACAGCAATCCCTCATCCCTGTATTTTAATGCAATATATTTTGAAGGCAGACTGTTCTTACGATCTCTTTATATATTGTTCCAAGTCTTCTCATATTATTTCTGTTGTGTGTAAATAAATTCATGCTTCTTTTTGCTCTATCTTGTTAGCACAAATTGCAGTAAAGGAGATCAGGAGATAAATTATATAAATAGATCATATTAAACAAATTAGTCTCTTTCAGGAGATAATACATTCCTAAACATCTGTATTCTTATCAAGTGTGTCAAAGACAATTTGGCCTGTATCTAAGGCAATGTTCTTCCAAAGTTTTACCCATGACTATTCTGACCTTATTGGGACAGAGTAGAATGGATGCACTAGAAACTGTTCCTCTTTCAGAAACCTAACTGCACCCCTGAGCACTGACTGTACTATTGGCTGCATAATGCTCTGCTTCTATTACTTCCCCATCTTTTTTTCTATTTCCAATACAATAACTTGCAAGAGATGGCTTGTCAAGCTTTTCTCTTTAAATCTGGGTGGGAAAAGATCATTTTATACTTTGGTACTGGACTGAGCTTATGTCCAAGATGCTACAATAGCAGTGACTGCAGTGTAGCACAGCATGGCAACCACTTAGGATGACTTCTCAAGCTCACTTAAAGAGTAGTCGAATCATGACAGCCTGAACAGTCAGTGCACAACTGCTAAAGAGAACTAATTCACCTGTTCTACATCAAACAACGTAAAGGGAGAGAAGGGTCAAACTGCACGGACATTTCAAACTCAGAACTCCTTTCAACATTGCCAATAATGAGCCTCACCCTCAAATCACTAATTGTGAACAATAACTTGTAAATAAAGTGGAGCTAAGGGGGAAAAAAAGATGAAAAAGCCTGTTGTCACCAACTGGTGTCAGCTCTTACTGCCACGTCATCAAGAAAGGAAACCTGCTTGAAATGCGTGAACTAAATTCTGTAGACCTCATGATAAAAATAATGATCACATCTGCTACAGAACTGTACGCAGATCAGTGAAACGTATTCTAAAGCATTAAAGCAGTTACAGAAACTGTAAAGCTCTAACCTGTCTATGTATAAAATCTGGTCCATTTACATAATATCTGAACATAGAGAAATACAGTATTTCATTACTAATCTGAGAGTAATATATAAATTTACTGTGATATATTTTGCCCTACCTGGACAATAGCTAATAATTTTCAAAAGTGAGATTATATACTGTTGTTTCTTGTTTCTCTTTTGAGTAGGATGCCTGACTGATTTAGAAAGGCAAAAGTACACAAACTGGAGGAGACTGGGATGCAAGTTCAATGCCACTTCTGCTCAGCATTGGAGTGGGACCATAAAGGCCTACATAAGAATATAAGAATATAAGAATATAAAGAACGCAATTTTGTGAGAAGAGCATGAAGAAAGTATTTTCCAACACTTTGAAACAACCACTTCCATATCCTTGGAGAGACTTCTTTCAGACAGACAGAAAGACAGATACTTCGAGGAAATATCCTTTGAAGAAATCTATTAAACAGTGTAATATTCAAAATATCACAAACACTGAAGAATTAGTTAGACTAATATATATTCATTTGAACTGTGCTCATACCTACACTTTACAACTATTCTTGAGTTCAGTATTTTACAAAACTTTCTGGAGGCTTCATCAGTTGATCCAGTTTATTTCACATTTTCATAATAAACTGGTACCTCAGTTTCCCCATGGGTACAACTGTTTGCCATTTTTATTGAAACAAACTCTGCCTTCTAGTCTAAACAAGCACAGTTCAAAAGGAAATCTAAGGGGAAAAGAGCCCCTGGGCAAAAAATGTTCAAATTATAAACCAATTAATATTTTTTTTCCAGAATTCACCTTTATGACTGAGCAAAAGCATCTATGCAAACACTTGAAATTTGTGTCCCAGCCATGAGGAAAAACCTCTGTACACGCTGAGACTCTTCATCCATATCCTGTATACTTGCACTGTCTCTCTCTTTACTTGCCACCATTACCACTGTAAAATCAGATATATGTTATTTTTTGAGAAGTGAAACCTAAATTGGTCTTTTCAACTTCCAACAGGAATCTAATCTTTTATAAATTGAAATTAACACTGTCAAAAAAGAAAAAAAAAAAAACCCCTTAGGTTTACCTAAAATAAAGATATTGATCTTTTGTTTCGCTCTGTTTTGCCATATTGTTGTCCAGAAGAATTAACTTTTCTGTCTTCAAGAAATATAGAGCTCTCCAGTGGCATTTGCAAACATTGTTTAATTAATCTTCTTTAATAGAGACAAGTAATCACACTATACTAGTCAATTTCAAGGAAAAAAAAACAACAAACCTACTTCCACTATTAAACTGTTTGTAAAAAACTAGAAGACAGCAATAAAATGAGTAACAGCTAACATGAAACTGTCAGGAAAAAACCCATACTAAACCAATGTATGTATTTCTGTAACAGGGTAACGGCTCTTGTGCACTGGGAAGAAGCAGATGTTATTTATAAGGGTTTCAGTAAAGCTTTTGACAATATTTCTCATGACATCTTACAAGAAAGCTAGAGAAGACAAAATCATGATCAGTTGACTGTACAATCAACCATAACAATTATATTTAACTTGGTAACTGCTTTGAGTGTTTGTTAAACTGAAAACGGGTAGTGACCACAATCTTTCAGGCTCCCTTCTGACCTTGTTCCAAAACCATTCAATGTTGTCACTCAATTATAATGATAATCTGCATAAAGGGATAGATAGACTGCCTATTAAATGTGCATAGACTGTGACACATTCACATCATACATTGTATTACAGCATGTACATCATACACCGATTTGTGTCAATGCAACTGACAAGAGGTTTCAAAGAAAGTTTTGACAAAGTAGAGAGACTAAAAGAACTGCTGAAGTTTAAATAGGGAGAATGTAAAGTTCTGCGAGCAGGGAGAAACAACTGTACAAATAAACAGACTGGGGAAGGACTGGTCAGACAGCACTGCTGCAGGAGAAGATATGAGGATTTTGATGGATCAGAACCAGAGCGTGACTCAGTGATAGCATGCTGTTGTGAAACGGCAAACATCATACTGGGACATATACAGAGAACCATCTACAAGAACTGTGTCATCTTTCTACTTGGCACCAATAAGGTTCTCAAGGTAATTGAGTTCAATTATGAGCACTACTCTTAAAAAACATGGAGAGACAGTAAAGGAGAGAATGAGAATAATCAGAGGCCTACAAAACACAACTTACAAAGCAAGACCAGCATTTTCTAAAAGCATCAGACTAACTGCGGATACAATATATAGCACAGTGTATATGCGCTATGGGTATGCCCAGGATTTCCAACTATCTTCTGACTATGCTTCAGGCATCCTCATGGTTTTCCAGATGTTATCTTCAGATGGAAAAAAAAGACACATTCAGACACGCGACTGCTGACTATAAAGACAGTTTTTGCATTTCTGCTGTTTCCAAATTGTTCCCTAATTTGGCGTAGTTTGCCTTGGGAGAGACTTTCTACCACTTGACATTTTTATGACTGACTGGTTAAATACCTGTCAGGAGTGACAGGTAGGTGGAAGTCTTGGCAATGGACAAGATAATACCTTCCTGCCTTATATTCTATGATTCTGTTAAAGCACTTTAATGCACTTACAAATTGAAGGTGAATGAAACATATTATGAGTTTGCCCTTAGTAGTTTGATCATACGTTTTCCACAGGTAGTAACTTGGCTCTGATGACTATTTTCTACATTCATTAACTTTTTTTAAAAAAATATACCTGCAAAAAAATTTTTACCTAATTATGTTATTCTCCAAACATAAATAGTATAAATCTAAAAAGGTTACTTTCTTCTTATCACAACAACTGTAATTTCTAACATTTAAACTTTAATTCCAGTACATGCTACGCAAATGCCAAAACAGAGTGGTGTCAGAACAAAATCAATGGAGTGAAAGGTGGAAGAAGAAAATTTGTGGAACACTAAGTTTTCATGACATTCCTGAGTCCTCACTCATTTCTAAAGCAATGAGAATTGTATGGAGCACTGCAGACAGGTACTATCACCCAACTTTTAAAATACATTTTTAAATAACTTTTAAATAATAAATTTTAATTAAAATAGGAATTGAATATTCTAACCTAATGTAAAGATTGGACTATATTGTTGCAATATTAATAGACTGTCACATTCTAAGTGTTTTAAAACAAAACATACTTTTTGTTTCAACCAACACAAAAACAGTTGCTGCATTCATACAGTTATTTTAAGAAAAAAAAATCTTTTATGCATTGATTGGTTGACTTGAGTTCAATTTTAAGCAAAATATATATAAACACAAAGAAAAAGGATATTAAAATGAACACTAATCCAGTCTTTATGTATTTTTCTAAGTTAACAACAAAAAAAAAAGATAATCCAAATCAAACTCCTAATTAAGCACTACTTTTAAATGCATGTGGTGATGCTTGGAAACTAACATGATTATTAGCACATCAATTGTCAGTAGGGCAGAACTGAATTTGGGTATGGGGGAAAATGACTTGGTAAAAAAGCAGTTAAATTATTTTGTGTTTCTTTGCCTTTCAGATAGCTGTGATCCTGTCCTCAACTCTTCTAAAAACTTAATTGACAGCTACTTTTAATTACACAAGTTACCAGTAGCCTGCAGGGTGGTTACAGAAGCATGGATGCTTAAACCATGAGATTTAACCCTTCCCCCTTTGTCCACACATCCCTGTGGATGAAGAAAACCATTGGGATAAAGAAAATCCATTCCTGTTGATAAAGAAGAGTGGGAGCAGTAGCATGTTCTGTATTTACAGGTATTCCTACAAAATGCTTCACCTTATTTACATTAGGGCCTTTGTGATAGAAGAAACATACAAAGAAATCCCAACGTTTCTCAAGCCTTCAGATACACCCTTCACATTTCAAAACCAATCTAGAAAAGACGTAATATAACATACTCTTAATTATCTATGAGTGGATTATGAAGGTTTATGCCACAGATGAAAGACGGGAAACTGCATCAGCCATTTCAAGTCTGGCTGTGCTCTTTCATGTCTGAAAACTGCTATACTGCTTCGTTCACTATTTCCAGCCTACAATGGTTGAACTGCTTCTGCAAGAGAGAGAGCCAGGCAGGTTTCTTAGCACAGGCTACAACCAAGCTGGCTGCAAGCAGAATAATCAGAGTACATCTCCTAGCAGTAGCATGCTAGTCCACCAGAAGCGCAATATCTTGATACCTGCACATCTAGGTCTGGGAGGGCCCGTGTTGACGTGCAGCTAAAAATCCTATCTAAGTGGAAGATGACTCACCCTGGGTCTATAAACCATGCTCTTCAGCATGCTGGGTTAAGGGAAGATCTACCAGTTCAAGTGTGAAAACAGAAAAATGCAGACAGTAACCTTGCTAATAGGTATTATTGTGCATTTGAACATTAGGACAAAGCACAATGGTGACATACATGGACCAGCTCAGACCAAGTACTGTTAATGACTCCTGACACCCTATTAGCTCTGACAAACACTGGATGTGGAGCTACTCCATAGATCACCCTACACTCAGAAACAAGAGTTGTACCTATTTTTCTATTATCTAAGCATCTTAGTCTCCCATCACTCTGCCTAACTGGGAACTTCATTTGAATACACGGATTTGTATATATGGACTTAAAAATAAAATGTATATTCTAGGGACATTATTAATAAAAAATAAAATAAAACAAGCTTTATTTCCCAAAGAACACAGAATTACAAAAACCTGGTGTAAAGAAAGAATGTGATGGACCATATGTGCCAAATGCACAGATGAGAACTTCAGAAACTGAGAAAAGGAACATACTCTGATCAGCCAGGTAGTCTGTCATGTCTGCCCATTTTTAATATACTCTCCAAGAGTAGCAGGAGGTACAAATGGCTCATATTTTGCTATATATTTTTAGCTGACAAACTCCAGTTATAAAGATTACAGTTTTCTCTCCCATATTCAAAATATAGGACAGATCTCAATATTCATCAGTCTATATAATTTTAAGTATATTGATATTCTGCATTAAAAAATCAGGCAATGAGAAAAAAAGTTACTATATTTATATGTCAAACAACATGTGAACACACTGGCTTATCAAGGGCTTCTAAACATTCCTTATAAGTTAAAAACACTTCAGGATACATGCAGTAAATGAAACAATAATGGGTGATGCCTGTGTAATCAAATACATATTTCCAAAGTAATAAAAAGTACTTATTTTTGCAAACAGCCAAAATATGTCTAAATTTTTCAAATCTATATACCTCAAAAAAGCAATCAAATTGCTATTTGACTACCCTCTCTTCTCTTTACAGGAAAATATTAGAAAGATACTTTCATTATTAGTTAAATCAACTGCTCTTTTGAGACTCAGATATGGCTTGGAACATAGAAAACTCAACTTTGCCATTGATCTGTTTGGTGACCCTACACAAACTACCTTTTTCCTCTCCATCTTTTCCTACCCAGAGCATGAAAATATAACATTGACCACCTTGAAATGAAAGGTACTATGCAAGATATAATTACTACTACTATTATTATTACTACTTGTTGGGGTCTTTTGTACCCTGTGTTATGCCAGCAACCTTAACCTTTCAGAGCTGAACACATTAACTCTATTAAACTCTTTTCATCCCTACATCTGCTTCTGTTCTTACATAAACAACAATTTGTATGGAAAACAAGGAAAGATAAGAATTTATATGGAAATCTGATAATGATTCTTTTTATTGGAATTATTTTCAAGCATGGATTTTATGCTATACTTGCCAGGCAAGGTAACTACACTTCTCCAACATCATCTACTCACCTGCCTTTCAATTGCCTACTTATCAGCTTTCATACTGGTCTTAAACTACTTATAAAACAGATTTAACTCTGGCTCCAAAAGATCTGTGTTGCTTAGTTCCATAAACCAGGACAGAGTGTACGCTCTTTATTTCAGAAACATTCACAATATGATACAACTAGGGTGAAAAATGAGGCCATAAGTACATTTTAGTAGAGAGAAAACAAAGTATAAGATAGCTGGCTTCAACAAAACATTGAACTATACGGCACAAACAACGAATTCTCTGACACCATGGAAAAACGACAAATTACCTGTCTGTGGAATCACTGGGGCCTTGACTAACATGAATTAGGTTGTCCATACTTCACAGTTTTTATTTCAGGAACAGCTGCTTTAAATTCTTCCTAGTACTTTTAGTCAGAATATTGGCTTTTTTTCAAAAGCCAAACTTTTCAGAAATAATTATTCTCTTTACTACAAATCCTCCAACTTCATAAAATTTTCCTACACCAGGAACAAAGAAACAACTTGACTCCTTCTGTTTCTAAGCCCTGTAGCACTCCTATGACATTTGAAAGTTGCTAGCCTAATTTATTCTGCCTTATTTACAGCAAGGACACAATTAGTTCTCCCACTTCTCATTATGGAGTCATACTGTCCTCAGCTTCTAGAGTGTTCTGGATCTTTGTCAGGTCCTCCTGTTGTACCTTCTAATATACATGATACATTATCCATTGGAGTGGAACTAGAATTTCAGTATTCCTTCCCTGAGAAGGCTGGCCATTTCCCCCCATAATACAGAGGCATTTTTCTTCTCTTTATGTAGATAGAAGTACTCTAACTTCAGTGTAAAGCTGTTACCTCTATCATACCTTACAAGTGTCTGGATAGGGCACTCCTCTCAAAGACAGGTTAATTGCATTAAAAACTCGAATCAAGCAGCTTTCCACTCATAGTATATTTTTTGCAAATTTCACCACAGTTGTGCAAAAAAATGACTATATCAAGATATGAAAAAACAATTACATACAACAAACTTCCAAATGTGTAGAGTAAGAAAACTCAAAAAGCATGAAAAACAATTGCTTTTACTGTTTTAAGTTATAAATCCTACTCTGTATCTTTCTTTCATCTGAGTACTTCTTACTTTTGAAATGATAGTGGTTTGTTGAGGTTTTTCTGGAAGTTGATGGCATCTTTTTTATTAAAAAAAAAAAAAGTATAATACAAATAATGATCTTGAAGTGACAGGTCAAAATGCTACTGAGAAACAAATGATTGACAAGTCTTATGTTTGGCCAGGAAAGTGAAGACAAAGAAAATACTAAAAAAAAAAAAAAAAATCCATGAGTTTAGGACCAGATGTTCCTGAAAATCTTCTTCCTACACAGTTCTTCAGTGCAAACAACTAAGCCCTGATAAAAGGAATATAAAAGAGATACAATACACAAAAACATTGTTCTTGGTTTTGGGGTTTTTTTTAATTAAATTCTCTGAGATCATATACAAGTTTAGTTCATTACGTAAAATACTGATGTCCTTCATGAAGAGTGCTTAAAACACAGCCTGAAGCAAATGGAAGAATTTAAAGAAGTATTTCGGCAGAACTGTATCAGACAGTAAGACAGCATTAGCAAATACCTTATCAGTATCACTGTTCTTTATTTAACAATCTGTAATTAAAAATCATATTTCTGTAAATTCCATTTTCTAGGTTGTCATTGTTTCTGAATCATACACAAGATTACTTATTTGTTCCACCCTAGCCAAGTGCATATTCTCCTATTCATAAACCTTTCAAAAGTGTGCAGTAATAATTAGACATTATCAGATTCTATCAAAACTGCATGCATCTCCATAACAATGCCATTTTCCAACATGGAATGATACTGGTTTTCAAGATACTGTTATTTATCCTGAAAAAAACCAAACCAAAACAAAAAAAACTCATTAAAAATAAATTAAGGAGCCTCCATGGAAAAATGTTCTAAGAGGATGAGTCTTTTAATTTTTATTTATTTTCTGCTTTGTTGTATCTTATTTTCTCAGATATGGCAAACAATGATAAGAAAAAATAAAGCCTAATGTACTTACTTGTGATAAGATGGAAAGCTGATGGTGATAGGTTGCTGCATTTTGATTAGCCTCCATGAAGTACCTCCGTGTTCGTCTCCTCTCCCGATCCAGTTTATTTTCCAACACGAGATGAGAGGTAGATAAAACATCCAGGTATTTCATCATCACATTAGACAGAAGTGAACTGACCTCCACTATGTCTGGACGTGCCTCTGCATCAGGAGTCAAGCACCTACAGAAAGAACATTCATTAATGAAAGCTAATTATTTCTTGTTAAAAAATTGTTCCGTACCCCAGCATTCCTCCATTTGTACCTACCAAGGCACGCTGGCCAGCTCTCTGCTCACGCCTGGGTGGGACTGCTCGACACTGTACAGCCTTGGTATCAACACCCCACAGACCACAGTCCCTGGCATCAGCTGGAGCAATCATCCTTAGCACCGACCCAGACAGAACTATGGGGGGCTGCTGCTGTGCGCTCCTGGACACACTAGGGAATGCCTCGTGCCCCTTCCTGGGGCTGGTGGAGACACTAGTCTCCCCTGTGGGGACTGTGCTCTGGACAAGCTGCTGCATCACTGGACAAAGCAGTTGCAAAGATGAGTGTGTTGTCAGAAGGGTTTATAGGAGAATGACAAGATCTTCACAGATAGTTTGCAGAGATGAGACCCTCAAACAATGCAAAGAAGGAGGAAAATCTAAGCCTGAAGAGGTCCGTGACTCCATGGGAAGTTCGCTTTGGAAAATCTTGTTCCTGGACTTTCATGCCAGGAAGAGCAGCAGAGGTGAACTGACTGAACCCCCACTCCCTGTCCCCTGTGCCGCTGCGAGTGTGAGAAGGTAGAGAAATCAGGAGCAAAGTGATTTGAGCCCAGGAAGAAGGGAGGGGTGGGGGGAAGGTGTTGTAAGATGTGGTTGTTTTGTCTACTCAGATGATTTGCAATGAATTAAATTGATTTTTCTTCCCCAAGTTGAGTCTGTTTTGCCCGTGACCATAACTGGTGAGTGAGCCATCCCTGTCCTTCGTCCTAATCCTGTGCCCCCTTTGTTGTGTCTCCCATCCCATCTCACCGGGTAGGGGGTATGAGTGCAGGACCGCATGGTCCCATTGTGGGTCAAACCACCACAACTACTAGGGCTGACTCTGAACATTCTGAAAGTGACTGCAGAGCACTGTGGTCAAGTGTGAAGGACAGAGGGCTGAGGTGGTGTTCTCCTCAGTTCTTCAGTGAGGTGGAAAGGCTCAAGTCAGGTTGTATGCAACCTGCAGTCCAGCACCTGGCTGTGGTTAGTCAAGAGCTTATGGATACAAATCAGAGGAACAGACCAACATGGGTGACACTGTGGTAGATGCCTGCTATAAACAACCCAAAACCAAAGAGGAAGTCAATTAGGCCTTTGCTGGACAACCTTTGCTGGATGGAAGAAGCTTCATAATTGCAGGCACTCATACTCATTGGGGCCTATTAACCACCCTGATATCTGCTGATGGGGTAATATGACTGAGTGCAGCAATACAGGACATTTCTGGAATCTGTTGATGACAATTTCTTGGTGCAGATGATTCAGAAGCTAACTAGTAAAAGCACCCTACCGGACCTGTTGCTCACAAACAAGGAAGAACTAGACAAGGATGTGAAGATCAAGGGCAGCCTCGGCTACAGCAACCATCAAACTGTGGAGTTCAAAATCCTGAGAGGAGTGAGAAAGACAGATTGTATGGTTACAGCACAGGACTTCAGGAGAGCAGAATTCAGCCTGCATAGGGATCTTCCTGGTAGAATCTCATGAAAGACTGCCCTGGAAGGTAAAGGGAAAGCATAGGGGAGCTAGCTAATCTTCAGGGACACCTCAAAGCACCAGAACAGCCCACTCCTGCATGCAGGAAGCAGGGATGGGCTACACAGGAAGAATAAATAGATATTGGCCAAAGGGTGGAGTTTGGAAAGCCAAAGCTCAGCTGGAGTTGAAACTAGCAATGGATGTGGAAGGCAAAGGAAAGGCCTTCTATAGGTACATTGACAAGAAAAGAAAGGAAAATGTGGACCCACTATGCAAACTTGTGACAAAGGACCCAACACAAGAAAGACATGGACCAGTTAGAAGGAGTCCAGAGGAGGCCACCAGGATGATCCAAGGGCTGGAGCACCTCTCCTATGAAGACAGGCTGAAAGAGTTGGAAAGAGTTGGAAAGAGTTGGAAAAGAGAAGGCTCCTGGGAGATCTTATAGCGGCTTCCAGTACCTGAAGGGGCTACAAGAAAGCTGGGGAGGGACTTTTCATAAGGGCAGTTAATGACAGAACAAGGGGAAATGGCTTTAAACTGAAAGAGGGCAGGTTTAGATTAGATATTAGGAAGAAATTCTTCACTGTGAGGGTGGTCAGACACTGGAACAGGTTGCCCAGAGAAGCTGTGGCTGCCCCCTCCCTGGAAGTGTTCAAGGCCAGGCTGGATGAGGCTTTGAGCAACCTGGTCTAGTGGAAGGTGTCCCTGCTGATGGCAGGGGGGTTGGAACTAGATGATCTTTAAGGTCCCTTCCAACCCAAACCATTCTATGATTCTATGAAAAGGCCAGGGTGCTCAATCCCTATTTTGCTTCCATTTCCATTGGGAAACTTTGGCCTTAAGTATTCCAGGTCTCTAAGCCTACCTGTAGAATCCATGAGCATAAGGCATTATCACACAGTAGAAAATATAGTGATAAAGAATTTAAGCCAGTTGGACATACACAAGCCCATAGCACCAGATGAGATGAGCCTGAAGGTGCTGAAGCAACTGGTAAATACCACTGTCTATCATGTCTGAAAGGATCAGAGGGAGGTTCCTGTAGTTGGAAAAAGTTGAGTATCACACGCATATCCAAGAAGAGCAAGAGCGAGGATCCGGGAAGCTACTAGCCAGTCAGCTTCATCTCAGTCCCTGGGAAAATAATTTAGCAAATTTCCCAGGGAATAATTTCCAAGCACACAAAGGACAAGAAAGTGACTGGGAAGAGCCAGGATGGATTTACCAAACAGTAGTCACACCTGACTAGTCTGAGTGTTCTCTGATTAAATTACTGGCTCTGTGGACAAGGGGAGAACAGTATACGCTGTGAAGAGCTTTATTTTAGTAAGGCCTTTGACACGATATCCCACAGTATCCACAGGACTCTAAGGTATTGGCTGAACTTCCTGGCTCGAAGAGATGTCATCACCACTACAAAGTCCAGCTGGTGGCTGGAACTAGCATCCTCCAGGAACTGATACTGGGCCAGTACTGTTTAACGTCGTTATTAATGACCTAGATGATAGGATGGAGTGCATTCTCAAAAGGTTTGTGAACACCAAATTGCAGGGATCACTTGATAGATGGGGCGGGGCTGCTGTCAGAGGGACCTGGGACACCTATACAGAGATCTAACTGCTATCTACATGATGGGAGGGTATAGAAAAGATGGACCCAGATCGTTCTCAAGAGGCAATAGACACAAGTTGGAACACAGGAAGGTCTGGTTAGATATAAGTATTATTATTATTATATTATTACTACTACTTTTAATCACAAAGGTAGACAAGCACTGAAGAGGGCCCAGAGAAGCTGTGAGATTTCCATCCTTAAGATATTCAGAACTCAGTTAGACAAGACCCTGAACAACGAGCAATCAGATCTAATTGTATCTGCTTTGAGCAGACGGACTAGATGACCTCTGGGAGTCCCTTCCAACCCAAATTACTCTACAGTTCTCTGGTCCTTGTTCTAGGCAGCTGTTTAGTAACAGTAATAATATACTATTAGGTCTATTTTTAAACTCCCAGAATATTTTGAATGTAGTGTAGGATATGAAAGCTGTTAGGGACAGTTCTGTATGAACTATAAACTGTCTTAAATCTGTTAACACCAGTGAACCTAATAATTTACTATGATTTCCCTGCAGAGTACTATTGACCAGCTAGCATACAGATAAACTTTACCCAACACCCTCCTTTAAAGGGTCACAGAATGATTTTTATTGTTTCTAAAACAGTACCTTCTAAATAAAACTAACTGTAACCAGTTGGCCTCCACAGCAGCCAGTCTCATGCTGATATAGGATAGTGAAATTGTTTAATAAAGACACAATATCTACAGTCATAAATAACTCAATAGCTGGCCTTGGAAAATCCCTCCAAAAGTTCCTATTACAGAGTTTCTCATCATTATCAGAAATGAAAAGAAGGAAAAGACAGAGGGCCAGATACTCACATAACTTTATATAAATCACTGATAAAGATGTGTTTAAAATTTGTAAGAGAATGCAATACATATAAATACTGATACGATGAGATGGGAAGATATTTTCTGGATGCATTTGGGATTACTGTATTATTCTTAAATAGTAAGCAATGAATTAATAAATCCAGTTATTCTAACTACAAATATCTGTAAATATTTAAAATATTAAAATTCATTTCAGGACTTCTTAAATGTTAGTTCTATTAGCTCCTATCCTCTCCATTGTTGTCCTTAAGCCTTATCATTTTTGTGCTAAGTGGAGTTTTTCTAAAATAGATGAATCAAGGGAGCTATATCTCACAGAAATGCATCAATTCACTCTCTACTTTGCCTTACACATTACATTATCACCTGGAAGATGTAACCATAGCTAAGAGAAATATGTCATGCATGAATGAAATAAATACAGGCTCATCTTTTCCTCCATTACTGCGCTATCTCTGCTTTGTTATCTCTGCTATTCTGCTAACAGGATTAGAAGGTAGTAGGAAACATATTTCTATCAGTCAAATGAACACAAAGAAGTATGAATGTGATCATACAGTGATCTATAAATAACAACTTGTAACAAGGTTACTTCCTTGACCATAAACTGCACTTGAAAATTACTCAAACTGTTGTATTTTCATGGGGGGGAAATTAATGTGTAGAGATTTAACTACAGCATTGTGGTATTGTGTGGTGGTTTCACCCACAGGTAAGATCATGTGGTCCTGCACTCACTCCCCCCACTCAGTGATATCAGAAGGGAATCACAACAAAGGGGGCACAGGATTAGGAATGCAGGACAGGGACGGCTCACTCACCAGTTATGGTCACGGGCAAAACAGACTCAACTTGGGGAAGAAAAATCAATTTAATTTGTTACCAACCATCCGAGTAGCACAGTGACACATAACAACCACATTGTACAACACCTTCCCCCACCCCTCCCTTCTTCCCGGGCTCAAATCACTTTGCTCCTGATTTCTCTACCTTCTCCCCCAGCAACACAGGGGACAGGGAATGGGGGTTCAGTCAGTTTGCCTATGCTGCTCTTACCAGCATGAAGTCCCTCTCGCGTGCTGCGAAGAGTCCAGGAACGAAGTGTTCCAACGCAAGCTTCCCATGGAGTCACGGACCTCTTCAGGCACAAGTCTCATGGGGACATCCACGGGGTGCAGATGGGCCTCTGGTCCAGCGCATCTCCTCACCCCTGGATCTGGGGGTCCACCCCCGCTCTGGCATTGAGCAACTCTGGGGTCTCTGGGCGGTCACACTTGCCCTCAGGCTCAGCTTCTCTGCTCCAGCGTGGAGTCCTCCATGGCCTACGCATGGGCATCTGCTCTACCACTGTACTTCTGTGGGCTGCAGGGGACCTCATTTACCTTCTCCTACTCCATGCAGTTGAACTGGGTGTCTGATGTTCTCTGTCCTCCCCTTCCTCCTCCTTCCTCCTGGCAATGAAACTCTCTCTTTGTTTAAGTGGTTGTCTTGTTCAGGTCAATGGCCTCTCCTCCAGGTTCTCTCCACCTTCTTCTTTTCAAGGCAGTCCTTACTCTCATAAATAAGGATTCGAATAGGCATTTCTCTAGTGCTAATTGGCTGAGCCTGGGCTGGAGGTGGGTAGGCCTTGGAGCCAGGGGAGCTGGCAAAGCTTCTCACAGGGGCCATCACTGTAGCCCCTTCCCCCCCTACCAAAAACAGCCCCACCACACACAAACCCAAGACATATTGTTAAACTTCAGTACTGAGTATAAAGTCTATACTGGCTGGATAAATGTGTTGAATATACTGGCATGAATTTTCCAGTTGTATGTATGCAACTATATTGCATATGTTATGCATATGCAGGGTAAGGAGATACCTCCATTTTTTCTTTAAATCAGAAGATATTTCACACGCAGAGGCAAATACTGGCCGTTGCTACAGTCAGCAAACTGTCACATTATCACTGCTGGACACATACAAAACAAAACATCTTTTCAGC